GCAGGAGATGCTTCCCGTGACTCTCCAGGGGGGAATCTGATCTTTGTCTCTCCCGGTTTTTGGTGTTTGCCAGGATTTGATGACTTGTGTGCTCATCACTCAGACCCCTGCTTCAGCGGTCACATTACCTCCTCTTCTTTTGTGTGCTTTCTCCTCTGTATTTTCTCTCGGAGAACCCCCTCTTACAGAGACATGAATATTTGCACTGAGTGCCTACACAAGTGATTCAGTGAGGGACTCGGTGCACAACCCTTAACTTAGTCACATATTTTGCCAGATAAAGGCAACATTTTCAGGTCCCTGGGGTTTGACATGAGGTCTGGGAGGTCCATTCTTTGGCCTAACAACATGTGTTTATGCCCTTCTCTGGTCATTACTCATACTGTCACTTGCAAGTTTTGAACATGTCTAATGGATGGCTTCCCTAACTGCACTTATCTGAGACATTATACTCATCTCCACGTACACTGCTCTGAAAAAGTAGCTCTACTCCCAAAGTGAGAACCCCAGTATCCTCCACTAACATGATGTTCTGTGGTTCCTGCTCAGCCAGGAACTCCATCCAGGTCTTCTTAATGGGTGGCAGGAACCCAAGTACTTGGGTCATCATCTTCTGTCTCCCAGGTGCATTAGCAGGAATCTGGGCCAGAAGTAGAGGCCAGGGGCCAGCGTTGTGGCATAGAAGGTTAAGCCTCCACCTGCAGTGTCAGCATTGCATATGGGCACTGGTTCAAGTCCCAGCTGCTCCACTGCCAACCCTGCTAATGGCCTGGGAAAGCAGTAAAAGATGGCCCAAATGCTTGGGCCCCTGCACCCATGTGGGAGACCTGTTGTAGCTTCTGGCTTCTGGTGTCAGCCTGGCTGTTGTGGTCATTTGGGGAGTGAACCAGTGGATGGAAGATCTCTCCCTCTTTTTCTTTCCTTCTCTCTCTGTATTTCTGCCTTTCAAATAATAAGTAAATCTTTTTTTTTTTTTTTAAAGAAGTGGAGGCTGACTTGATCCCAGAATTCAGATATGGGATGTTGGCATCCCAAGATGTGGCCCAACCCACCATGCTTCAGTGTGCACTCCTAAAAGTCCTTTCTGCATAATATGTTTTCTCTTTCTTTTTGATTTCCTTCTTTTTATGTCTCAGATATTTTTTTATTCTAGTCTGCATTGATCTTTCCCTTTAAATATGGAGTATAAAATTAGGGATCAGAAGACCTTCTGCTTGCTAATGTGCAGCTTGGAAACAATTCTCTTGTTCTCAGCTTATTTATCTGCAAAATGGGAAACCATGTAAGTATCAGTCTCACAAGATTGGTGTGTCGATCAAGAAATAATTTGTAAGGAAGTGCCCTTAAACTGTCCTTACAAATATTATTACAGCCTTTCTATCCCATGGGTATGCTGCTGGTCTTTTGTCTTCAGCATTCAGTCTAGTGTTCTGTTACATGATTTTGCATTTTAAGAAATGTGTGGGTCAGGCGCCATGGCATAGTGAGTGAAGCCACCATGTGCAGTGGCGGCATCCCATTTTTTTTGGGTGCCAATTCGGGTCCTGGCTGCTCCACTTCCAATCCAGCTCTATGCTGTGGCCTGGGAAAGCGGTAGAAAATGGCCTGAGTCCTTGGGCCCCTGCACCCACGTGGGAGACCCAGAGGAAGCTCCTGGCTCCTGGCCTCGGATCTGTGCAGCTGTGGCCATTGCAGCCATCTGGGGAGTGAACCAGTGGATGGAAGACCTCTCTCTCTCTTTCTCTCTCTCTCTCTCTGCCTCTGCCTCTCTGTAACTCTGCCTTTCAAATAAATAAATCTTTTTAAAAATGTATTTTTCTTTTCCACAGTGTTATTTGGTATTTCATGGGAAATTATGTACTACACTTCCTCTATAACAGTTTCACTGGTCCAACAATAGTAGCTTGGCTGTGGTGTGTGAGGCTCAGACGCTTGTTCTTTGCTCAGTGACAAAGTTCTCAAAAGTAATGTGCAAAGAAATCACCCAAGAATATTGTAAAAAAACTGACCAGATGCTCATTCCCTAGCCTCAACTCAATAAAGGTACATTGATAGATATGGGACAGAACCCAGGAATCTGCATTTTAAAATGAATAATATGGTTTATTATTAATTCCATGAATATTGTTTTATAAAAAGTAAAAGTTTAACACAAATAGAAAACAAAATCTATGACTTGATAGTTATATATCTTGAGGAAGAAATTTTTTATTTGAGAGGCCTAGACATATACACACATACACACATAGTACTGGCAATTCCTGGTTCATTCCCTAAATGTCCACAATGGCTGGGAACCAGAAACTCAATCCGAATCTCCCATGTGGGTGGCAGGAACCCAATTACTTGAGCCATCACCACTACCTCCAGGGTCTGCATTAGCAGGAAGCTGAAGTCAGCCAATATGGGACATGGGTATCTTAACTAGTGGCCTAGACCAAATACCCACCCTAATATTAGGTACATTTTCAAAGAAATATATTCATCATTTGTGTATATGCCTTCTTGTGTTTTTATGTGTGCATGTATTTGAAAGGCAGAGCATTGGGGAGAGAGAGAAAGAGAGAGAGAGAGAGAGACGGAGGGAGGGAGGGAGGGAGGGAGAGAGAGAGGTGTTGATCTTCCATCTTCTGGTTCATTCCTCAGATGGGTGCAATAGCTAGGGCTGAATCATGCAGAAGCCAGGAGCCAGGAACTCCATTCAGGTCTCTAACATGGGTGGCAGGGGCTAAAACACTTGGGCCATCATTTGTTGCCTTCACAGGCACATAAGCCGGGAGCTTGTTTGGAAGCAAAGAAGCTAGGACCTGAACTTGCATTCTGATATGGGAGGTTGGTGTTATAAGCAATGACTGAACCTGCTGCATCACAATGCTGACCCCTCTTCGTGCTTCTTATGGAACTTGTATTTAAAAAATTTGTTTATTTAAAGAGAGCAGATTTTGTGTATTCGTATACAGTTTTAAGAACATAACACTACGTCCCATCCTCATTCTGTCCCTTTCACACTTCCACTTCCTTCCTTTCTTATTTCTCTTTTCATACATACTTTCAATTTACTTTATAATCACAAGTTTAATCCTCCAGTAAGTAAAGAAATTAACAGACAGTAGAGAGACCACTGTCTTCAGGAGTATAGACAGGGGGTATGGCCAATGATCAGATCTCAAGATGTCAATTTCACTCCCTGTTCATTACAATTCCTTTTATTCTGTACCTAACTCTGATAGAGTGCCTTCTCATTTGTATTCATGAAAACTAAGGTGTGAGTTGTGATTCATTCACAATGGGCAGATATAATTTCTGTTCCTTATCCCTGTAGATGACTGTTGTCTTTCCAATTAATAATTTGCCTGGAACACTGATCAGGTTTCACAGTTCAGTCTGTAGTTGTAATTGTGCAAGTCTTCATTTGTTCTACTAACATACATTAGTTCCACTTGAATTTGAGGCTCATTTCCAGTAGACTCTGCATATTCTTCTCATCCTCTTTCTCTCTCCCTTTCTTTCTTTCTTTCCCTCTCTCTCCATTTGTATGTGTGTCTCTAAGAAACTCAGTTTGTATTAATATTTTTAACACAAACTCCAGATGATTTGAAGCAGGCATTATGAGAAAGACTAAACTAGGAACAGACAATGAGCCAATTATTAAGATTTCTCTCTATCAGCTAATCTCCATTTGTTGAATTAGAAAAGAGGAGGTGACTTAAAAGAAAGGATCAGAGGAAGTGTAAGATAGAAGATGTTAATAGGAAGAAACTGAATCAGGAATTGGTTCTCTTGAAACATGTCCCAGGAATTTGATTTTTAGAGTCCTGTTGAACATGCTGTCAGTATTCTCAGCAGGCAGACTGGAGGAGCTAGTACCCATTGTATATTGGCCACTGAGTTAGCTCCTGTACATGGCTGTCTCGTTGATTCTTCAGCTGCAGATGTCTGATGGAATCCTGCTATTCATGTTGTTGTATTTTACCTAATAGAAGAGATAGTCATATCCCAATCTTCTTAGCTAAATGCTACCACTATTCTGGAAGCACTTTTGGAGATCTGAATGCAACTGCTTAAACGTTGTAGGCACAGAGAAAGCTATTTGTGAAGACGCAGATGGCAGATACAGGTTTTAGACTCAAGGCATCTCCTACTAGGATTTTAAGACCTGATTTTGCATGCTACAGAGAGGATTTTTTTTTTCCCGAGTTATCTCTATCAAGTTTATAATAACATGTGGCTGAAGGTCAGCGTAACTCTCACCCAACTGAGCCCTTGCTAATTTAGGGCTGGGAAAATTGAGAAAGTTGGGACCTGTCATTTTTTTTGTTGCCACTAACTGGTATAGCCAGCCAGTACAACCACAGAGCTCTTGGAGCACACACTGATGGCTAACACGTGTGCTATCATATCATAATAGTCAGAGATTTGTATAGTAGAAAGGGACCCGTTTTGATCGGCTCATTTCATGTCAGGCCAGAGAAGTAAAGCGACTTTTCCAGGGTCACAGAACTTGTTCCTGGCAGGGCCATGACCCCCTTTCTGGACATCCCTTCCCTTTGTCCAGGCTTTTCTGTCAGGAGGAGTGCTAGCATTTGTTTGCTGTGATTTATATGACATACAGTTACAGTGGAACATGACTTTTGTTTCCAAGACATATAATCAATAGCAGGTGAGTAGGGATATAAAAACTCTTCAGAAAAAGGACATGGAAGCCAGTATAGCATAGATGAGAATGCAGAGGACAGAAGTGGGTGTATAAGTTCAAGGATAAACATGGGTGTCACTAGGTGGGAGAAAAGAGATATCAATAGGTATGCTTTGTATGGACAGATTGTTCATCATGGGGAAAAAATCAAAATAATTATATAGTGTGTTCCAGTTGAAGGAGGGATCTTCTCTTGACAATAGTAGACTGAGAAGATGGGAGATAGGTGTAGGGATCAAGGAAGAGGTCAGATGACTAAACTTAAACCCCCGAATGTTTCAGAATATATTAAGTTGGGACTTACATTGAATCTTGAGTTACTTGTCTGTCTGGACCGTTTTTCTGCCAGGAGGTCTTTGACTGTGTGCTTCACTCTCACCCCCTGGTACACGCGTTTGCTGTAGTCTCCTGGGACTTAAGCAAATGGAATAGTTGCAGTCAGATATGGGTGGAGTAATTAGGTTAACCTACTGAGGGACATATTCAAGGGTTGGTAATCATGATGCTATTTCCTCATTAGAATAATAGAATTACTGAATTCGAAGAGGCTTCCAAAGAGTCCAATCTCCTGGCTCTTGATAGCTTCATCCAATCTCTGCTTAAGGGGAAGAAACACTATTCCATTTTCTACATAACGGTTCTTCAAAGAGCCTTGTTTTTTTGTTCTTTACTGTATCAAGATTTACAATTTATGCATTAATCACAAGCTAAAGGATTGGGTGCAACTTGAAATAATGCTTCTTACTATGCAAGGAAAAACATTTGCATGGTTCAGTTTACAGAGAGTTTTTTTGTACCTGATATGAATGGTGACCAGGTCAATAGGACTTTTTTTTTTTTCTTTTCATGAAGATTTATTTGAAAGGCAGAGTTACAGAGAGAAAGCGAAGGGAAGACAGATATTCCATGCTGGTTTACTCCCTTAGGGGCTGCAATGGCCGAGGATGGACCAGTCGGAAGCCAGGAGCCTGGAACCGCATTTGGATCTCCCAAGTTGGTGGCAGTGTTCCATGTACTTTGTCCATCTTCCACTGCTTTCTCTGGCACATTAGCAGGGAGCTGGATTGAAAATGGCACAGCCTGGACTCGAACAAGTGCTCATGTGGGATGCTGGTGTTGCAGGTGGCAACTTAACCTGGTGTGCCACAATGTTGGCCCCAAGTAGACTGTTTTAAGAAGTTTGTGTTCCTCAGAAGAAAGCCTTTTGTTATCTAACTGGTTCACTAAGTAAATACATTTTATTTTTGGAGATTTGGTGATTCAACTCCAAGAGTTGTATTTTGAAACTAGGTCAAAGAGAAGAGAAGAGTTATTCATTCATTTAGCAAATATTTTTAAGTACTTACTACATGCACTTACTGAAGAAATTATAGTGCTTGGCAATTTATATGTATTATTTCATTTGATGCATTTTACAGATGAGAAAATTGAGGTTCAAGGCTAAGTTATTCGGCAAGAGTTCATAGCTACTGATAAGCAGTAGAGCTGGAATCCTACTTCAGTCAGCTTGTAACAGTAACAAATATAAATATTTGTTATTTTCACTATGAGGAAATTATAGAGAAATGAAAAAGAAAAAACATTTCTCCAAGGGTCTAAAATTGTCAACATTTCTTCTAGGGATAGTGAGCTCCTTACTATAAGAAGAAATGTTGCCTACTTTTTGCTTGTGCTATTTTAGAAAGTTCATAAGCCCTGAATCAGTGATAGAACCAGAGGGGTTTTAGGATATTTTACAATTCTGGAATAGGTTGGATGGCTTCACACTGTTTTCACTGGGATGTTGCTACTGGGGGAGGTATTTGGTACAGCAGTTAGGACACCACTCGGGATGTCTGCATCCCATATTGGAGTGCATGGGTTTGAGTCTCGGCTCTACTTCTGGTCCCAGCTTCCTGCTAATGTGTTCTCTGAGAGGCAGCAGATGACGACTCAAGTAGTTGGATCTCAGTCACCCATGTGAGAGACCTGGATTGAATTCTCGACTCTTGGCTTAGGCCTGGTCCAGCCCCAGCTATTGCAGGCATTTGAGGAATGAACAAATGGGTGGAAGATTCTCTCTCTCTTTTTCTCTCTGCCTTTCAAATAAATGCAAATAATAGAAAAATAGTTGAGGTCTTGCTGCTTATCAACAAATTCACCTGAAACAGAGTTCAACATCAGGGTTTATGGCAGAGTATACTAATGCATTTTTGTATGAAGCATAAAACCAAAAATATTCTCTAATTTGCTTGAATTTAAAGATAGTCTAAAATTTGAGTCAAATTCTGTTATAAAAAATAATGAAAGGGAGGAAGAAAGGAAGAAACTAGAACTACAACCAGAGGCAAGCAGTGTGTTTGGTATAGGAAGGGCCAGCCTAGGCGTCAGTACGTGCTCAGCTACACATTAATCACTGACTTGGGAACATCACAATCGCTCAGCTCCATTTTCTTCCGTGTGATGTGGATATGCTACTTCTTAGCTATCTTCAGAGATTTTAAATAAAGAGTGAGCTATGCATATGAAAATGCTTTGAAAACTACCAAGTATTATATAAAACACCTGTATAAAAATGAAGGAAAAAAATCTAGGTTCTAAAGCAATGCATTATTTAATTCAAATAAAGCCATATGTAATTTGATTTCAGCAAAAACAAAACTATTTGAATGATCCTTTTGGTCTGATTTTGGCAGAGTTGGTCTACATGGAATCATTTATATGTAGAGGCTTGGAGCATTTCCTTCACATCGACCTGAAATATAAAGGTTCATGACCTTGTTTGTTCCAGAGAAATCTGAGTGTTTGTTCTAGAACTGTGGGGAAACCTAAGGCTATGATGTGTACCTGTATTTGTAGGATATTTTCTGTGTGTCAGAACTTGGGCTACAAAAGAGCATGCTCTCTCACTAGGGGAGAAATATTGAAAGATAATTGTAATGCAAATACTCTGAGTGCAATAAAATGTATTCAGAAAAAACACAGAATGCACCAGTTCCTTGTGGGGGCAGGGAGGAACACAGGTGGCAAAGAGACACCTGAGTAGGGATTGGAGGACAAGGTGTGGGGTAGTGATGGCAGAGTGGGCAAGAACATTCAGTTGTACAGGACAGCATGGGTCAGAGCAGAGCGGCAGTGTGAGGGTCAAGTGGCAGGAAGGCAGGCTGGGAAGGGAGACAGGTCCATCATGATATTCCTGGTATGGGGAAGGAGTTTGGACTTCACTCTCTCAGCCGTGATCATCAGAGGCTTTGGAGCAAGGGAGAGAGTGGTTAGATTTGCATTTTAGATAGACTTTTCTGGCAGCTGCGAGGAGGAGAATTTGAGAATCACAAGGCTATAGGGAGATAAGTCAGAAGGACTCTAGAATAATTCAGGCATGAGGTAATGGGGTCTGAGCAGGGCGGGGATGGCTTCTACAGATGTGGAAATTATTCAGATGTGGGAGGCGAAGGCTAGGGATGATGCAAGGGGAATTCTCAAGTTTCCGCCACCACAGGACTGCTCCGGGTACATGTGCTTAAAGAGCAGTCGTGATGTGGATGGTAATGAAACCAGGCAAGAGAAGCTCATCCCTCAGGGGGAGCATGTGAGAGCTGGTCATGTGCTGGCACACACAGACAACAATGATGTGTCTGAAACTCTGGGATGGACAAGCCAGGCTACTCCTAGGGGCTGAGGAGAGCCCTGACTTCTGAACCACTCATTGGGAAGCTCTGGACTAAGTGATTCAAGATGGAAGCCCAAGGAGCATTCACACTGGAGGGAGGAGGAGAACATAACCTTATGAAGATACACTGGGAAGATTGGTTGGAGAAGAACCAGGAGAAACCAGGGGAATGGACATCATAGAATTTCAGGGAACAGCTGTCAGGAAGGGAAGAAGTGTTAAATAGGGTAGAATGGTCCAGGAAGATTATGCCAGAAAAGGCAGAAAAGCATCTTTTTCTTTTAATTCAGTGGTTGGGCTTGACCTTAGCAGGAATGATTTTGGGGAGTGTGGAGTGGTTACAAAGGAGGTAATGATGTCAATGGAAGGGCTGGAGGTAAGGAGGGCAAACTAACATGTGAAGTTTGAATGAAACAAAGAAGAAAGTGAATGGATGAGAATTGGAGAGAATTGCAGCATCCAGGAGAGCTGTGCTGTGTTTTTGTATCTATTTACGTATTTGAGTGGGAGAGAGTTGGGGGTATATGAACAGGACAGAGGGAAAGATTAAACATTTAGGAAAGAAGCAAGAAATTATGGAAGAAAGTCTTGTGGAGGAAGAATGGGATTGGAGTCAAGGATACGAACTAGCCCCAACCTCTGAGACTGGAATAAAGAAGGGCAGCATGTGGGGGTGGGGTGGGCATTGCAGACTAAAGCTTTGCTCTAAGTGGAGCAACTGGAGTAGGAGAATCACTCAAATACGAAAGGCCAGAGTGAGGCAGGATGAAAACCAGATAAGTAAGTGCAAGGGAGATTGTCTTTCAATGGTTAAAGGGTGATCCTTGGACCAACCAGGACCAACCATATCAGCACTGGCTAGAGAACTGTTAGGAATGTCGAGCCTGAGGCCTGACCCCAACTGCTGAGTCAGAAGCCTCCGGGGCGTGGGCTGGCCCTCCCAGTGATTCTCATGTTCCTCAAATTTGAAAACTCTGGATATACAAGGGACTTCGAAAAGTGCATGAAAAAGATAGAATTAGAAGATGTTTATTTTGGTGCAAAAAATTGAAATCTATGCATAGTTTATTCATACATGCTGTTTGATGATCTCTCATCCATAGGAGTAAGGTCTTTTTAAGGTTCCTGTGGAGGAGGTTGGAGGAACTAGCCCGGCTCTAACCTGGGCAGTCCTGGCTGGGCGGGAAGGGAAACAGCTGAGTGATCAGTTGTGGGTGTGGACTGAAGTCTGAGAAGGAGGAGGAGGTGGAGGTTGAAGGGGTCCAGGTTGGAAACTGTGTGCTTATAGAAAACCTTGGATTCGCTTTCTTCTGAAGGGGCTTTTTAATTTGTAATTTTGATATGAATTAGCAATTTGTACTTTGTGTGTATGCCAAAAACCCTAGGGGAGATTATCCTATCTAAATAAGTTTAAGACATAACCAGCTGATGATTAATAGAAGAATATAGTTCATGAGATGGCAAATAATGAGATCAAAACTTCTGAAGTTTTATTATAAAGGAATCAGCCTTATGTACAAGTTGACACCAACTTAGGGCAAAGTATGAGGTTATATGCCACAGGGGCTGAAAACTAAGTTGAGAACATATAGCAGATGCCCTCAAAAAGATCCTATTTAGTGAGAGAAATAAGAGTAGGGAGAGTGGGAAAGATACGCTTTGGATTCATGATGAAAGTTCTGTGGGAAGGAAGGGAACTCAGGTTGGATTGAGAAGGGTAGGATAGTTGGGGTGGGAGGGAGAAGGCCTTGTAAACAGCAGGTGTGCACAAGCAAAGCAAGGAGGCAGGGAGGAGCGATGGCAGTGCAGAAGGGGTAAGGAACTGGTATAACTGGAGTTCCTAGATTTAAATGCCATCTCTGTGTAGATGGACTTCAAGTGCATATCCCCGGCTCAGACCTGGCACTTAGAGTTGACCATTCATCTAGACCTTGATATGCAGTAGATATCTAAACTCCACTTGTCTAGATAGGAACTTCATTCTTTCCTCCCGATTTCCTATTTCTGAAGCCTTCCCTAACTCCGCCGAATGCAACTGAAGCCTTGCAGTTGCTCAGTCCCCAAGCTGTCGTGTCATCCTTGACTCTTCCCTTTCTCTCACATTTAACAGCTCAGCCTTTAGGAGTACTTGATGGTACTACTTACAAAATAGGTCCAGAATCTGGTGATTTTTCTTTGCCTGCACTGTTAAGATCCAGGTTTAATCTATGGTCACTTCATGTAGATTACTGCAGTAGCCATCTAACTGGTTTCCTCTCTTCCCTCCTCCCTCCTATCCCAAGTCTATTCTCAACACAGCAGCTGGGATGATTCTTTGGAAAAAATCACTTCCCATTCCCCAGCTAGTCTTTAACTCTATCATTTTCTGCATTTTTGCTCTTCAATCCATTCTAGGATCTATTCTTAAATCAATCTTCCAAAAATTCTCCCAGATCTCCCACAAATATGATAAAAGTCACAATACTCTTCTGTCCAAAACATTGAGTTGTTTGCATCACCTCTTTTTTTGCATCACTTCTTTGCTCAAAATCCTATAATGATTTCCCATTTCCTCAGAGGAAGCCCCAAAGTCCTTACAATGGCCCCACGTGACCCGACCCTGTTCTCTGATAACCTCTTTTCTCATCTCCTAAGACTTCCCTTTGCTTACTGTTTTTAAAATGCACCAAGTGCACTTACTGCCCCAGGACCTGTGCATTGGCTACCTTTATCTGCTTTCTGGAATGTTGTGCCCTCCATTATCCATGTGACTAAATGCTTTTGTCTCCTTCAAGTCTTGGCTCAAATATCATCTTCTCAATGGGAATATATTTAAAAAGTTGCATCTTCCCCATGGAACATTTCTGACCATCCTCACCTTCTCCTGCTCTACCTTTTCTTTCTATATAGCACCAGTCACCTTATAACATCCTTTGTGATTTCTTTAGTTAGTGGGCTCCTTGTTTATCACCTACCCACCTTTTGATAGCACCTAAACTCTGTGAGGATGGGAATCTGTGTCTGTTTTTACTCTCTGTTAGATCTTGGTGCCTGGCACTTAGTAGGCTTTTAGTAAGTATTTATTGAAAGCCTTCTTTTGATTGAGAATAATGGAAATGTTGAAGGTCTTAAAAATCTGGCTTTAAAATTTATGTGGTCATGCATTGCTTAATGACAGAGCTGAGTTCTGAGAAACATGTTGTTACGAGACCTCATTAGTGTGCAAGCATTCCAGAGTGGACTTACGCAAACTGCTGTGGTGTCACTGGGCATTCCTATCTATGGGACCATGGATGTGCAATCTGTCATTGAAATGTTCTGAATCACAGGAATGTACTCTATGTGGAAGGTGATGCAAACAACTCAGTGTTTTAGACAGAAGAGTATTGTGACTTTTATCATATTTGTGGGAGATCTGGGAGAATTTTTGGAAGATTGATTTAAGAATAGATTCTAGAATGGATTGAAGAGCAAAAATGCAGAAAATGATAAAGACTAGCTGGGGAATGGGAAGCACAGATTTAAGATTTTTCAGGGAACACACACACACACACACCCCAGAAAAGAATACCATGATTAAGAAGAGAACTCAAGAAATCAGGGAAAAGAACTAGGTGGAAAGTTGGGGAAAGATTTCAGTTTTGAATGTGTTGACTTTGAGGCTATGGTGGCATAATAATAATAATAATAATAATAATAATAAAAAAATAAATCTCCTGTAGTTAGGCTGAATACTTGGACCTGGGTTAGGACTGTGCATCCAAGAAACATCTTTAAAATGTACAGCTCTCCAAGGAAGCATTTATAGTAAGAAAAGACCGGAAGTCCATGTGCTGAGCCTTGATCAGTGACTGCTGTTCTGATGCCAACAGGAAGAAAAGGCCAGGGAAGGACTGAACATGTAGGGGTTAGGGAAATACTGGCAGAAAGGTAGGAATGTACCAGAATGGTGCATCAGCGAAATTAAAGAGGGGGCGTGGAGAAAGAGCAATCCTCATTGATGTTCAAGTATCTGTCACCTTGTAGGTGCTCTGTAAATACTTGTGGAATAAATAAAATGCCTTGGAGAAGGTGAGTAAAACAACAGTAAGGGAGAACAGAGGGTTTGGGAAGGAAGGGACTTTAGAATGTGGGAAGGAGTAGTTTCACAGGAGGGGGAATGAGACCCCTTTTGTGGGCTTTGTGGGAGCACAGTGGCAGAGCTAGGAGGGTAGCTCGTGCTCCAAGGCAGTGGGATCTGCACTCTACAATAGCACAGTAGGGGACTCAAAATAAACCTAAATGAAGCATTGGAACCTAGCACAGATTCTTTAAAATCTCACCTGGAAAATTTGTTGCATGTTTGAGAATTCTCAAGCTTTCTTAACGAACCCTACTCTCTTTTGGAGAAGGATGCTATCTAGAGTTAAAAACTGTTGACAGTGTTCCTACACCAAAACATTGTTTTTTCCCTGTGCATTGTGTCTATTTAAAGAATCCACACCTGCATGAACCAAGAGAGCTTAAGAGTTTTTATTCAAATACTCTAGATACAAACTTGCATTCAGATCAGTTGTTGAGAAAACAAAGACATGTGTTTCCGGAGAGAAAGCACAAGCAAATTTATCAATAGGAATTGGTTTACCCTTTAGAATTTGGAAAAAAAAAATGATTTGGCACTATAGGGTTGTAAATATGTGTATGCAGCAAATTGTTCCTTATTCTTATTTTCTTTGAAGAATTTGGTCTGTATTAGATTTAATGTTGCTGTTGCTTTAATATTGCTTTTTGAAAATTATTCTGAATTGATTTAATACTTAAAATGCGGGTGATCCTAAATTATTTCTAGTTATTAAATAATAAATAGTTATTTGAAGCCCAATCTTATTTTACTATATTTGATGATATTTTGTGGGATTCATTTTCTATCTTTTAAACTTTTAGAGTTTTTAAGCAGGTGCTTGTGACAGAAGGAAAGGAAACACATAGTTCTAAATAAAAAAAGAGAAAACTAAAACCACGCCACAACTTTAAAAAAGATCTTATGTTTTGAGTTCTGTGACTGGAAAATGGCCAATGGAAGATGGCATATGCTGTCTCTCTGAGTTGTGGTCCTTCATGATACTGGAACATAGACACACTGTCGCTCAAGACAGAGCATAATAAAAATCCAGGATAATGGGTTATTGATGTTCAGCTTCCATTGTCCCATCCTCTGCCTGTCAGGGAAGTACCAAGGATGCATTATGGAGTGGTCCAGTGGTAGCCTCATGATTTGGGCCACCGTCTGGCTCAGGTGCCAGCCCATGAAGATGTTGGTCTCTCTTCTGACTCCACTAGCCCAGCTGAAACTGCCTTGCTAGAGATCCGAGCCCTTTCACTGAGAAGGCAGAAGCCCACCTGGGAACCAATCATTCTAGTTCTGTGGCACTTGAAGCTCAGCATTGTAGTCGCCCTTCTCATCTGGGGAGACGATATATCAGTTTTATTATGGAAAACCTCCAGGAGAATTTCAAGAAATGGCAACATGTAGTCTGCAAGTTCAAGTTTGTCAACAAACCAGGAAACATTCAAAGACTATTAAGCAAAAAATAATAAATAGTACTTAAGAAATGTTATGCTTGAAATAAAGACTGAAAGTTTTACAGTTGCAAGGTCAAATTAATTAACATTTTAAGATTCTGTGGAAATTTGGTTTGCCTACACTGTAGGTATCTATAACCCCCTCCTAATGTCCTTGTTCTCCTACCTTTTAAGCCTCGTGGCCAGATCTGAAAACAGTATTACAGCTCATCACCAATTCCATGCTGCAGAAGACAGATGCTCTTACTATCTGCTTATCTTTTGAGATCAGACTTTGAAGAACTGCAGCACTTAATAATTTTTCCTTTCATGGTATTTTAAAAGACATTTTTGAAATATCCCTTCTGTCATCATTTATTAACATTTAAAATGCTAACTTATTTAAGTCCCAAATTTGTTCTGGAATAGATAGATTTGACCCTAAATTGAAAGTAACATTTGTATTCTTAGGATGAACAAACCAGTGAGGCTCTCTATATAGTTTGAATTCATGAAATAACAGCTTAGGCTCTTCCTTGTCGTATGTAAATAGATATTATCTTCCTTCTTAGCCTAAGACCCTATGGCAAGATGCATGAATAAAAGATATTTCCAGTTCTGCATAAGTGTGGATTCTTCTGCAATTTTTTTTTATGATTGAGGGTTTATTGGAATTACGTCCCATTTGACATAAAATTTCAGTATACGGAAAATAATGTATTCATCTTCAAGTCCTCATTTTATGAAAATAATGTTCTACTAAGGTATCTTTCAGGATCGTACCAAAATACACTGTGCGACAAAATTAAATCTAGCAATTAGTAATGAAAGTGACTAGAATTATGAAAATGTTACCAGAAGCTCTAAGTAGTTGTCCTCTGGTCTATGCTGTTTTTACATTTTTGTATATTCTAGCCAGAATTAGTAATAGTTCTCCTTTACCTTTGCTTCATGTTATGACTATGGTATCAAAAATAAAAGTTAGGACTACTGCTGTGTTTTAAAAATTGTCCTAATTGACATCGACTTACCACTTTCCATTCTGGATGGTTCTGGTGAATGTCCTTCTTGACAGCAGCGCTGGTCTCTGGCGATGGCGTCCACTCTTTGGAAAGGAATCCTGGTCTCCCAGAAAGCTCAGCCTGATCGTGGTGGGGAAGTCTTCTGTACACGGTAGTGATGCTTCTGAAATGACTTGCTTTAGATTTGATTAAATGCAAATCCTTTGGTGTCTGTTTCTGTACAATTTGCATCCCCAATGTAGATTATATATGAAGGTACTTTTTTCCGCCCCAAGATTTTTATTCAGTAACAATGAGTTTCCATCGGGAGCGTGCCCTCTTAAATGTTTATTATGGAAACAGTGCATCCATTATTTGTTTTATGAATAGCAACAGCATTTTCAATCATTTTAATTTTTAGAAAGATTTTTAAAAACCAGTGTATATGGATAAAAAAAGCCCCTACTTCCCAGGAGGTACTGTGCCTGTCATACATAGGTTATAGGTATATGATTTTTAAAATCCTGGGGATTTTTTTAGGTGTAGATGAAATCCCAGGAAGTGTTTTCATTTAGGAATATAAATAAAAATTAATGTCAGTTTCATACAAGCAGGTCACTTTCTTACTGTATATAAAACACAAAACAAGATTCCTTAACCTGGTACTATGTAAAAGAATCGTCTATGAAGTGGCTTAAAAATACCTTTTGTGCAGACCCCACCCCTCAGGGATTTTAGTCTTTTGAAGCAGGGTGCTTGGATAGCTGCATTGAAAATGAAGCTTTCCCATTTTTTAAAAAAGATTTTTTTTGGATACATTGTTAGGGTCTTGAATTCCTCTGGAGCAAAATTTAAGGAAAATGAATTTTAGGTACTTTCTCACATTTCTCTCATTCATCTTTACCTACCCACAGTTGTTTCTTAACCTAATTCTGGTTCTAAATTGATGTGGCTCCTGGCACCCTTCTAGTCAGTCTGGATTTGTAGCCCACTGGGCATTTCAGGGTTTAAACGCACGCTGTCTGGCATTTGGCAAGCCTGCTGATGCCTCAAGTGTCCTCACCCCATTTCAGACCAGTGGACTCTGGAATCAATGTATGTTGTAGAGACCTGGGGTCTTGGAGGCTGACCCAGGGGTTCTGTAAAATCCAGACTGTTTTCATAATAAAACTGATGTGTTGTTTGTCTTTTACTGTCTCATTCTCTCATAAATGTAAAGAGGGATTTTCTGGACTGCATGAGATGCACAACAGATCGAATGGAGAAGCAGATGTTTTCTATGCAACTAGATATTAAGGAAATTTGCACAAATGCAAAACAATTTTGCTCTTCTCATTAAAAGTTTTGGTTTTTAAAATATAGCTTTTTTTTAGAATAAAAGGTTATTTATGTTAGCCTGTAATGATTTATTATTAAAGAAATAAATAATTTAAAAAATCTTAGTCTTAATTTGAAATACAATAAATATATCTGCATATGACTTATTAAAAAAGTCTCTTGGAAGCCGGTGCCACAGCTCACTAGGCTAATCCTCCGCCTGGCGGCGCCGGCACACCGGGTTCTAGTCCCGGTCGGGGCGCCGGATTCTGTCCTGGTTGCCCCTCTTCCAGGCCAGCTCTCTGCTGTGGTCCGGGAAGGCAGTGGAGGATGGCCCAAGTCCTTGGGCCCTGCACCCCATGGGAGACGAGGATAAGTACCTGGCTCCTGCCTTCGGATCAGCGCTGTGTGCCGGCTGCAGTGCGCCGGCCATGGCGGCCATTGGAGGGTGAACCAACGGCAAAAGGAAGACCTTTCTCTCTGTCTCTCTCTCTCACTGTCTACTCTGCCTGTCCAAAAAAAAAAAAAAAAAAAAAAAAAAGGGTCCTCACTAATTTATAGGAGAATAAAAGCTTCCTGAAACCAGAAGGTTGGAGAGCCACTTCTCTAAAAGGACAACTGTCATTTAAGTTACCTTCTCAATTGTTCTGATTAGAAAGTTGAGAGCTTTGTGTTCCTTTCTCTTACTGACACGTTATACCTCTTGTGGTGTTTCTACATTTGTAAAAGTAACTTATTGCCTTTATTCTGTTATTTGAATCCTTTTCCAAGGAGCAGTGTCCTAGCAGCCAACTTAACTCATTTTTGCTTACTGTTCTAACCAATAGCTCTATGTTCAAATAAAATATAAAATCTTTACATGAACTAATTATTATTTCTATGGTAAATTCCCCAAAGCAAGGAGATTCCTTGTAATGTCAAATTTCTAGTTTTATCATTTTATAAAAGAAACATTTTAATTCCATTTTCTGTGAATTAAAACTTTATTGTTTGAGAGGAAGAGAGAAAAAAGGGGAGGGGGAGAGAGAGAGAGAGAGAGATCGAGATCTTATCTACTGGTTCACTCCTATAATGCCTGCCAAAGTTAGGACTGGGCTGAGGCCAAACCCAGGAACTGGAAATATAATCCAATCTCCCACAGGAGTTTTAGGAATCCAGTTACTTGATCCTCAGGGTCTGCATTAGTCCAAAACTGGAGTCAGTAGCTGGGAATCAATCCCTACACGCCATTGTGGTATATGGACAACTTAACTGGTAGACTAGATGTCCATCACCCCAGCACAGTAGTTTTAAAAGATATTGGAACATTTTAAACTTTTCAAGTGGAATGGAATCACTTTAAAACAAAGAGTCGTTTCTTCATTGCTGATAGAATAAAGGCTGACCTAGCACGACATTCAGACTCTCTATGATGTAGCCTTAACCTCTCTTTCTACCTTGTCTATCATTAAGTTCCTTCCAACCAGCATGTGCCCTAGTGGAGGGCTGCTTACAGTGTAATCTTGGATCACCTGCCCCAGAATCATCCATAAGGTTTGTAAAATTAAGTCCATCTCAGACTTATTGAATCAGAACCTCTATGGTCATGCCTGATCATCTACATTTTAATAAGCTCCTCCCCATGTGATTCTTAATAAATATTGCAGTTATATGCTAAAGTTACAACTGATTACGTAGTGTTTTTTCGTGTGCAAGTCATGGACCCTCACACCTTTTTTTCTTTGCTTATAGCATTTTCTCAAACTGAAGTATCCTACTTTGTGCTGATTAAGTGTCTACTTATTTTTCAAGATTCAGCACAAGCTATACCTTCTCCGTGTAGCTTGTGGTTTTCTTGTGTATTCACCAAGATTGATTTTATGGCCATTTCCTGATGCTTCTTGTTTGGCTCTCTGAAACTATTGATTTCATGCTCTCTCTACTTCTTGTTAGTAGTTTGCATTTCCATCCCCCACTTTCAAATGAATTATCCATCTTCTCCATGGCCCCACAGCACCTGGCTGTGTTTAAGGTATCATGCGCATAATAGGTCCTCAGTGAGTGCTGGCCATGCTCAGTCCTTCCACGGATTCTATTGGAAACGATTGTTTCTGGTGATGTCTTCAAGCAGCAATGTGTGAAAGATAAAGCATAACAAAGGAGATGTTATTCTTTTCATGGTAAAGATGTCACCACGCGTAAAACCTTTTGCTTTTCCAAAACCAGACAGTACTCTGTAGAGTCTGTAAACACTCCCTATAGGCTGGTGCTGAAACTCAAAGCTGTGATGATTTTCTATAGGACATTTAATGTCTAAATGTCCAGTCTCCTGCGGAAGCATGTCAGATATTCGACATCATTGCAAGAGCTGAAATGCATTGAAATTGAAATAATGGTTTTTAAGAAATACTTGCTCCTTCTTCAAAAATACCTATGTGCTGCATTTGCATGCAGAGTTGCTTTCGTAGAATTAAGTATATTTAAAAGGAGATTGCTTTATTTCACCAAGGAAACAAGCCTTCCATGGCCAAAGCAGTTGCTGGAATGGTGTGGGTTGGTGATAGGTTTGGACTGTGCTAGCTTCCTTGCTGTGGGTTAGGAACAGGGTGGGTGCACTCTTAAGGAGGTTGCTGGGTCTCAGTAAGGTTGATGAGGGTCTAAGGTAGCCTGTTAAGAAAGAAGAAGCACAAGGTACGTTTGGGGAGAACAAACCCATGTACCACAGGGCACAGGCAGGATTAACAGTCGCCTCCTTTATGTTGTATGGAGTACACTTCCTTAGAGACTCAAGTGCAGTGCTCCTGTTTCAACCTCTATATTCAGTCTAGAGTGAGGTGCCTGTTCTGTGTGTTGGGTAGCTCCTGACAACATTTGCTATCAGATAGACATGGTGGAGGTGGAGGTGAAAGTATGAAGGAGTCTGGAGCAGACACAGCAAGTTGAAGACCAAGGCAGATTCTCTTTCCCTTGCCCTGCCTCTGTTTTAAGGCTTTCCTATTTTCCAGGCCTGTCTATGAGAGAGCCTGGAAGTGAGTGGTTAGGGCAGCTCTGTGCTTGGACTGAAGCCATGCTCCATTTGCACAGTGCACAGAGCACAGAGCGAGGCCCAGGAAACCCAAATATGATGATGGGGTACAATAATAGAAGGACCCAGATTCTATATGGAGGTGGAAAATAAATGAGCTTTTAATATAGGAGGTGCTCCCAAACGGAGAAAAGAATGGCATGAACAGGTGCACACACAGGAGCACAATGGGGTTCTCGCTTACAGACATGAGTTTCCTCCCACAGGTATGAAGGGATACTGATTCAGGCACTCCTGAGTAGGTAACTCTGTCTGCTCTTGTGGCACAAACCAACGTGTTTTTGGTCTGCTCTGTTGGCTTCATGCTTCTTTGAGGGGCATATGTTGATTCTTGATGAAGAATAAACAGAAAGAAGGGGCTTGGCCACCATAGTTTGCCTGCCAGGGTGAAGATGGCTTGAAAGAACATGGCTTGGGGCTGATGCTGTGGCATAGCATGTAAAGCCGCCACCTTCAGTGCTGACATCCCATATGGGTGCTGGTTCAAGTCCTGGCTGCTCCACTTCTGATTCAGCTCTCTGCTGTTGCCTGGGAAAGCAGTAGAAGATGGGCCAAGTCATTGGGCCCATGCACCCACATGGGAGACCTGAAAGAAGCTCCTGGCTCCTGGCTTTGGATTGGCGCAGCTCTGGCCATTGTGGCCATCTGGGGATTGAACCAGTGGATAGAAGACTCTTTCTCTCTCTCTCTTTCTCTCCCTCTTTTCCTCTCTGCCTCTCTGCCTCTCCTTTTCTCTCTGTGTAACTCTGACTTTAAACTAACTAACTAACTAACTAACTAACTAAATATATTTTTAAAAAAGAAAGTGCGTGGCCTGACCTGGGATACAGCAAAGCAAAGGGAAGGTGTTAGAGGGGCTGCTCTAAGCCAG